AATCATGTACTTATGTGATAGTTTTTATGACGTTAGTAACATAAAATTTACTCATTTCTTATTTAACTATATAGTTTTGAGAAATTTTAAAAAATACCACTTTTCAAGTGCCACTTTACAAAAATTCTACATTTTTACAATCTTTACAAAATTGCCACTTTTTCAAAATTATTTATTCATTATATCATTTATGTTTGGGTTAACTATGTTGTATTAGAACATAATTAACCCAAACATAAATAATATAAAGAAAATATAATTTTGAAAAAGTGGCATTTTTGTAAAGATTTCAAAAGTGTGGCATTTTTGTAAAGTGGCAGTTGAAAAGTGGCATTTTTTGAAATTTCTCAATTAATAATTATATCAAATTACAATTAAGTGTTTTGTGTAATTTATGTAATTTTTATGTAAATTATAATATAATTTTTATGTACATCAATGTATAGAAAATAAATATTTTATTAATAAAATCTAACAATATCCTATAAAAAAACACGTATTTTTTTTTGCTTTTTATAGAGGTTATTGCGATTTAAAAAAAAATCATAAAAGAATAGTTTTAATAAAAAGAAGCATACATGAACAAAAAAAAAGAAGATGACGTGAAAAAATTAATTAAAGAATGATTTTCTGATTTTTAGGGCTGTTAAATCCAACAAGTCTAATTGGAAAAATTTAGAACTTAAATATTTTTAAATGTTTTCATAGCTTTTAAAATCATATAACATTGTATATGTCCAATAATTTGATACAAATGCTTAGGCTTATAAGTTAGGGGCAATTACAAAAATAAAATTTTTTGTGTGCACATTTGCAAGAATGTCACTTAGGGGTGTTCATTTACAAAAATGCCACTAATTATAGATTTATAAAGCCTATATCTTAAAATTTTAAATCCTAAAAAATATTTTGACACCTAAAACCCCCTAAACACTCAAAACTAAACCCTAATAGAACATAATTAACCCAAACATAAATAATATAAAGAAAAAATAATTTTGAAAAAGTGGCATTTTTGTAAAGATTTCAAAAGTGTGGCATTTTTGTAAAGTGGCACTTGAAAAGTGGCATTTTTTGAAATTTCTCTATAAGTTATAACATAGATAATTATTTACTATACACACCA